TTACCTACATCAGGACTAATGGCTCAAAGGGCAAAAGACAACTGAGTTTAATATATAGAGAGATACAGAAATATATATGCACATGTAAAACTAGCTAGGTTGAAGCCAGGCCAAGGAAGGCCTTGAAAACGAGTAGACATCTCATGATTGAGCAAATACAATGCAGAGTATATTAGAGAGTTTGGAGTAACGGTAAGGCTTTTGCTTTGATGCAGGCCATAAAATGATAGAGTATAAATTAGATATAAGTAGTATGAATGGAGAGGAAGGGTGGAGTTGATGATTATGTTAACAAGGAAGAAACGACACAAAGGGAAGAGTCAGAAACAAATGTCCAAGTGTGAGAGATGGGAAAGATCCAGTCATCCTTCAGTAACTGCAGGGGTCGGTTCCACGACCTGCCATGGAAACCAGGATGCGCAGATGTTCAAGCAGTATTTGCATGTCACCTACGCACATCCTCCCATACACTTTAAATCTGAGTTACTTATAACACCTAATGCCATGTAAATGCTATGTATCGTTTAGAGAATAATGAACAGTTTTACTGTACACGTCAGGAAAGCTGTAATTGTTTTTTAGCAAATATTTTCAAACCGCAGTGGGTTGGATCCACAGATGCAGAAGCCATGGATACAGAGGGCCGACTGTAGTAGTAAACACGAGGACACTTGTTCTAGTTAGCAGGGTGACCAAACTGGAGGCATGAAGATGGTATCAATTTCTGATCCACTGAGTTTGAGGAGGTGGAGGGATATCTAATTGAAGCCACCTCAAGGTCATTTAGAGGTCGGTAAGTAGCTCATATTAACCTGTAGGACTGGAGGTGCCGATTCAGACTCTGTCCATGTGGAGTTAACCACCGCTGCATTCAGCATGTATCTCACCACTGAGGAAGGGTGAAAGAACAAGAAAACAAAGGGAAAATCTTCACAGCCCTTCGCTAAAGGAGAGAGGGGTCAGATGGTTTCAAAAACTAGGAATGAGTGATGTCATCACATGAACTAATAAAATAGGGCATTTCAAGGGGATTGTTAAGAGGGAAACACACAGAGACAGACACACACACACACAAAGAGCTCAAGGAAGGGGAGGACTAAGAAAGACTTGGGGGACAACATGGTCATTAGTAACATTTCAAAGTGCAGTTTCAGCTGAGGGTGGGATTCAAACTCGACCACCCCAGACCTGCCTTAATGTAGCTTTCTACCCTTACTGTAATGATCTCTATTAAAAATCACTTATAATTTCCTTATGGTGACTTTTATTCGTTCCTTTATTTTTGTTTTGTTTAACTCTGTCTAGGAATTTATCTTATTTTGCTACACAAAGTAGCCCATCTGCTGTCATTTTGAACCTGTGGGAAGCTCGTCATCAGCATGATGGTGACCTTGACTCCCTGGCCTGTGCCCTTGAAGAGATTGGGAGGACACACATGAAACTCTCAAACATTAAGGAATCCCAGCTTGATGAAGCCGACTTCAACTACAGCAGGCAGAATGGACTCTAATCCCCCTCCTCTCATGAGACGGAGCGATGGCCAGCTTTGGGACATTCGCTTTACTTACATGGGAAAGAAAGAGGCAGCTTTCTGCCCGGTGGCATTTGGGGAATTTAGCCTTCATTTATAATCAGTGAGATCCCTTGGCTGAAGAAGCTGAATTTATATAGGTTATACATGTTAACAGGGAAAGTGTAAGCTCTCTTTGATGTAAGAGGGCTCTACTGTCTCCTTTGAATCCACACTAGGGTTAGCTGGATGCGCTCCTTACGCTTGGAGTGGCAAGCGTGAAAAAAGAAGCTGAATTTATATAGGTTATACATGTTAACAGGGAAAGTGTAAGCTCTCTTTGATGTAAGAGGGCTCTACTGTCTTCTTTGAATCCACACTAGGGTTAGCTGGATGCGCTCCTTACGCTTGGAGTGGCAAGCGTGAAAGGGCATATCTGGATAGAAATAGCTGTGGGAAAAGATGAGCTACAATAAAGCTGGGAAGTCAGAGACTGATTAAGTGCATGTTTTGAAACAGGTTTTTAATGATGTGACCCAAAGGGCCAACTGATTCTGGCAGCAGATTGTCAGAGTTTTCTTATCAACTAGCATCTGTGATGTTGGCAATCATTGTAAGACTGGCTTTTAGAAGTGAAACAGGGTTTCCAACCGCTTTGTATGACTTCAGCAACATCAAGGAGGGTATTTAGAATTTAGGATCTTGAGTATACCACACCAGCACCAATTCCCTGTCTGTCCTAACAGTTTAATGGAGACAAGCTCAAGAGGTAAGATGGACCACAAAGTACTCCTTATTGTACACCCTACCTTCATTTTCTCCCCAGAGACAAATCTATCCATATTCTTCCTTATCCTTTTTACCCACTGTAGTAGAGAGGATTCAAGGAGGATAAATAGATTTTTCAATATGGAAATTTATTTCTAACTCAGCAAAGCAGGACCAGGTCTATTCCCAGCTAAGCCACTCGAATTGCAGAGTACGATTAGAACACAGTTCATTACATGGATTTGGAGACAGGAGAGGTCAAACCAGGTCCAAGGAAACAGGAACTACCGATGTCACAGGCCTCAACTAAGCTGTAATTCTAGAAGGCAGGTGTTGATCCAGTTCTCCAATGTTGTTATAAGGGAATAGTGAGTTTTAGTGTACTTTTCAATCCAGAATCTTGAAATTTGCTAACCTTTTGATACTATGTCATCACAAAATCTCTCAGTAGGGTTATAGCTCAACCTCCTTTGCCTGTTGGGAAGTTAGCAAACGGTCTTTGCTCTAAATTATATCCAAGTAGATAGACCCAAGGAATACCTCCACGTCAGTGTCCCAGAAACCACACGCATTGCTCAGGGAGCTGTCAAGCTCTGACCACTTAGCCTCACCGAGTATGCTTTCTCTACAGAACGATTAACAATGGCTTTTGCTTTATGATTCTTTTTAAAACAGGAGGCAGTGATGTTGTGGAGAATTGAAATCCACAGATAATTCATGACCCTTATCTTTACACCGTACTCCATTGTTTTATCCTATTAAATCATTTTTGACAGGGTGTCCTGGTAGACTAAAGATGAACAGACGTGTTCCTGCTCATCTTCTGGTGGATGTTTTAATTAGCTGTCCACAATCAGGACAACAAAAGTCAAAGTCCTAAATTAACCATAAGGCAGCTAATCAGCAATTTAGAGGTTGGCTGCATTAGAATAAAAGTAGTCAGGGAATGGGGCAGGTGGGGAGTACTTGGCAGTGGGGAGAAGATCAGTTTTTTTAAACAATTTTTTATAGATCCCTTGTTAAAAAAAAAAAAGTGTGAATCTCCACCCAAGTGAAAAAGACCTAAAGGCAGGTTGAATTTATGATGCCATCGATAAGAGATTGAGGAACTTTTAAACACGTTGGCCATTTTCTCTAACTAATGTGTGGTATATATGGTGCCCTGTATTAGGAGGTTTTGCTGCATATAATCCAAAAGCATCTTGCTTTTCTCAGGAACCAAAGGCTCATTATGTAGAACAAAAAAAATTGTCCTAGAACTGTCAAGCATATTTTCAAAATACCATATCTAGATCAGGAAAACACGCTTTGCTAGTGTGTTCAGCTTGTTTATTCCTTCTAGGGAATGGTAGAGAGCCAGCATGGAAGTGTAGGTCTTTTGACAACACTGACAATGTCTGAAAGAGAAAGAGGTGGAAGAGGATGGTTGATTGCTCACAAGAAACTAGGGAGGTGGTTGGCGTGGGTGGCACGAAGGAGGCATCAGCACTGAGTCGTGACTTGTGGAAAACACATTATAGAGCTTTGGTTAGTGGCCATCTCGGAAGTTTTTCATTTTAAACCGTGCTACCCCTTTGTCCTCTCCCCTTCTAATTGGCCTTATGATTGTTTCATTTAACCTTGAATTCACACTGGTCTTTTTTAGATTTTTGATACATTTTTTATATTTTAAAACAGATGAAAAATTTAAATGATTTTCCCTAGGATCTATCTAGATTATTTTGTGACTGGAATTTGGAATTTCCTCACATGGATTTTTTTTTTTTTTTTTTTTTTTTGTGGGGCCTGGGTTTTATAAATGCACTTGAACATCACATCTTATAGAGTAACTAAGGAAGAAGTTAACATGGTTCACCTCAGATTTCAGCCCGAGGTTCAGTCAAAGCCATCTTTCAGTCCATTGTGTTCCTTCTTTATGTTTCCTTCTTACTTATTTCTGCTGAGATCCTACATAGGATTTTTATAGAAATGTATGAAAATCTACAGTCATTGCATGTCAGGACTGTGCAGTATTTTACAATAGAGTTTCAAAGAGAACCCGTGTTTGTGAGTTTTACACCAAGGTGTGTGTTGGGGTGTAGTGTGGAATTGCAGATCATATAAAGATTTACTTCACACTTGAACTTGTGATTATTCACTGTGACCTAAACCTGGTCTACTGTATTTGTCTGTCCCAGCACAAGTGCCCCTTGTGAAAGAAGTTTACTCATCAGTCTAAGCACTTAACTTGGAAGTCCTACTACCCTAGCACAAAATGAAGCAAAAATTAAAAGTGGCCTTTAAAACTTGGTAGGGTACTTAATTTTTACAAAAATATCCCACTTAATGCCAAATCTTTTAGTCCTCAAAGGCATTTAAGTCTAATAGTCATACCTTAAACATGACTTAAAATTATGCCACCAAAGTGCTCCACTTTACAGCTTCACCAGACTGCAGCATCATAAAGTTAATTTACAGTTTTTACAATATTGCTTGTACTGTCTTACTGGTTTACATTAAAATCCTTTAAGCCAAAAGGAAGCTTGCTGTATGGATTTAAATGCAAACTTCATTTACCGGTGCAGGAAGTCTCATAAAACTCAGACGTACTCCCACAAAAATTTTATTGGCCTTTTTGTAAGAGATGAAAAAAAGTTGACACAGTTCTCTTTAAACAAGGGAAATTTTCTTTTTATTATTTTTATCTCCAACAGCCAGTGTTGCCCTTTGCCACGGTCTCTATATTTTTCTTTCAGTTGGCTTTGAGAGGGGATATTAAGTCCAATCACTAAACAGGGTTCTCTTTGGATTAAAAGTTCTGGGTTTATTGCAACTATTTTTCTTGACAAAAATTGTCAACATCAGAATTGGCAAGCAAAGGTGGAATACTAAAATGGTATAATTGGTCTTACTTAGTTTCTCCATTTGCCAAACTTATGGGAAATTTACCTGTGAATTTCAAAATGTTACGAAAATCTTTTGACATGATTTTGTTCTTTCTTTTAGTCATTTTCTCTTCCATTCCTAGTCCCTCTGCCCTCTGCAAATGTGTTGAATGGCACAGCTGTCAGATGTGCTGAAGGTGAAGTTCTCTCACAGGTCTCTGTTCCAGCTCCGTAAAGGTCATGTAGAGGTCACAGGATCCACGAAGGAGCTGAGAAACATGCCCTTCTGGCCCACCGTGTGGCGCATTTTCATTCAGTTTCCTCATGAAACATTGCAAGGTTTGAATCCTTAGTAACTCCCATTGACTGGACTAGAGGTGACCACTACAGCACATGGGAGAGCAAAATGCTGGCCTACAGACAGTGACAAAATCTTACTAGCCCTTTGGTGTTAGTGGCCATAGCTCTGTATGTGAAAATCGATGCTTTAGCCAAAAACTGAATGGCCACTGTTTCCGTAGTTTCCACTGTTTTGTCTGCATAGAATTTCCTGAACTACAAGCAGAAACGTATTTTGTCAAATGTCACAAAAGTGAAAACGTTACTAATCTTAGACGTGTTACATATTTTGTGTTTTCCTTTCCAGACTTTCGAAAGCTGCAGTTACAAAGCTGTTTGGCCGTATTGACAGCATGTGGTGTTTTTGCAAAAGCAATTCTAGGAGAGCCAGTGTCTCCCATGGACTCCTCACATCCCCACTCCAGGGTCATCAACAAAATCAAAGTGATAATCTGGATGCTGTAATTTTTCAAAAGATAAAAGGGGATGGAAATCAGACCTGGCCATTAGTCACTAGTGTGTAGTACTGTGATCTGAAGTAGGAAGTTTAACTCACATAGAATAATTGTGGTTTTTGAAGCAGCTACTCATTGCTTTTTCCTTTTGCTATAAAGATCATGGATTTGGAATATCCTCATGAGGTGGCCCTAAGACAGTAGCATTTAAACTTCATGTCTTAGAATCTACCCTCCACCTGAACCCAAAGATCAAAAGGCAGTAAGCTTCATCATTAGGCTTAAGCTTAAAAATTTCCTTCCCCGTCCCGAATACTGAGTTCAGCAGGGGGTATATCTTTCTTTCCAAAATGTTATATCTTCGAATTATAGACTACATCACTAAGTTTGGTAATGTATTCTTTGCATGAATGGAAATACGTGTCAAAAGACTCCTACAAAAGGCATGATTTCAGTGAAAATGCCCTTTTGCCCCCAAATTTGCCGACCCTCGAATAGTGTTCAACTGTTTTCAAGCCTTATTTGCACACAAATTCCAAAATGGGGCAAGTTGTACCATTCCCTTAAAATTTAATAGCTGTGGTAGGTAGAGATTTAACTGTGGTTCTAGTGAATCATAAAAAGAGATAATATTTGAGAAGAGTTTGTAAGCCAAATATCATGCCTTCTGACCCCATTTCTGAGACACAGATATTACAATCAGAAATAGATCTAATAAATCTAGTATCCCTCCATGAGCAAGCTCTGATTATGCCAATAGGGAGATCACCTTGTACCAGGAGGCAGCAACCTAAGCCTCATCAGAGGGTAACTGAAAACTTCCCATCAGAAGCACCCTCCAAGGCTTAGCCTAAATTGTGTAAGCTGCTCCCATTCAAAGCTTCTCTATGAGAAGGTGGGAAAACACCAGACTGTGGGAATTTTATGTTCAGGAAGACAATTTTCTCCTTTTCCAAATCAGAATGAAGACTTAGAATTTCCCATTCTTTATAGGTTTATCTGATTGCTAAATGCACTGCAGTAAGCCTCGACCTAGAAATATCGCAAACACAAGCATTCAGAGGAACACTGGCTTATTCTCCTGAACCAAACTCAAAAAACATGAGTCGTTGTTTACCTCCACTTCTGTATGAGAACTGAAAAACATTTCATTTTGTTCTGTTTATTTTGGGAAGGTGTGTGGGGGGCGTTCTTTCAAGTGATTCATATCTCAAATCCATACCACTCTCAACTTTTATTTGATGTGTTCAAAGCCAAAAAAAAAAAAAAAAAAAAAGCAGGGCTGAACACTTAATTTGACATGAAGCTGAAGGAATCCGCAAGGCAGAAGAGAGCTTTTGAAGAAAGCATGGCCTTGGCTTCATACCACACTTTTTGTGCCTTGTATTATCAGTGTAAATTCTGAATGTTGTACAGTAAATACTTGGATGGACTTCTTAGAAAAGGCTGCACTGGCTTCTTTTTCAGCACATGTACATATCTATAAATATATATACATATATATTTGGTAATGCCAAACAGCTGTGTTATATTGTATTGAACAAAATGGACGGTTTGGATGTTTTATGTAGAGTTTGCATAAAAACTGGATGGTTACAGACTTTTCAAGATAAATGTACAGACGTAAATTACTGCTTATCAGTTATTTATGAATAAAGAGTCTTTTATTGACATTTTAGGATACTCCATGAGTGGAACTCTGAAGTCTCACTGAGGGCCCCTTTACACAGCTCCTGCTGCCTTCTAGCAGGGGATGGAATGATGCTCTTCCCAAGGACAGTTTCCAAATACCTGTGAAAACATGGTCAACCCAACTGCTCACTCTGGCCTCAAGAGTGAGATGATATGAGGCTACTGGAAGCAAAGAAGAGATTCTCCTGTAACATCCCCCCATCACCACACACACACACCTTCCTTTGAGATATAATTGCATGTGCTCTGAGATAATCATAGCCACACCATGACTGAGAAACCGTTCACATTATGCCTCAAAATGCTCGGGTTGTGTTTACAGACTGTATACAACATTTCCTGTCTCTCCGTGGGAAGACATTAAGAAAACATGTACAAATGTTGTCCATTTCAAGTACATCCTAACTGACTGAATCTGTCTGGTTTTTAAAATGCTGAGAGTTCCCAAGAATTTAACCATAACTACTTAGAGAGCTGGTCAGAGCCAGTTTAAACAGTGTCATCTACTCAAAGATGGCTTTTGACCTGGTCAAACTAGTCGGCTATAATTTAAAAGACAGTCAAAAGTTGATTTAAACCAGTATTTTCCAAAGCCTTTTTTGTTTGTTTGTTTTTAAAACAAAATACTGTTTTCATGGAAAGATAACAGATTCTTTTTTTTTCCAAATCAAGTTTGGAAAGCTATGCAGTAAAATGAAACGCCATTCTCTACTCTAGATTTCTAGAAACCTTTACGTGTATGATGGATCTCTAAGAGGGAAGTCTGTGTAGCGTGTCCTAAACTTTGACAACGTCATTGTCCTTGTATCATCTTGTGGGACTGCTGGGGCAGGTATCAACATCCACAGAGTGACTGCGAGAGGTTTCAACTGTTCTTTCTGAGCACTTTAAGTTAGAATTTTAAAGCTGAGTAAAATATATTTAAGCTACTGGTAAAATGAGAATTACTTTTAATTAACTTAAACTAAGTAAACCAATTATAGTTAGGAAAAATCGGGCCCAAAATTGTAGACTTATTTGAGTAGTTAGAGCAAATTAATCTGAGTTGGACAAAACAGGTTTACCTAGAGGGATGCTGTGACTAGCATACAGATCCAGGCACAATTGATTCATCCAGATAAAAACTTAATGGATCGGCTTGAACTTAAACTATTCAGAATATCTTTTTAAAATATTTCTTTAAAAAATGCTTTATGTAGTTAGGAACTAATTCTGAATGGATTAAGTTACTTTGAGCTAATTTATGCTTGTTCTATATAACCAACATTTGTTAGAATTTGATTTTATTCAGATAGAGAATAAAATCAAATTCATTCAAAAAATATTTATTATTTATTACATGATAGCAGAGTCTGGGTTCAAATCCTATCATTTAGCATTTGATATCAGGCAACATACTTAACATTTCTGCTTCATTTGTAATGTAGAGATGATAATATAATTTTACATTCTTCCTGAAGTCTGAAGATTAAGTTTAGAAAGTATACATAAAGCCCTTAGCATACCACATGATACTTAGTAAACAATCACGAGTGGTCATGTTTATCTTAGGCAGAGTGAGTTTGAGAGCACAGGGACCTGGATAGTAATCCTGAGTCTGCCGCTCCCTAGACATAGGACCTTGGCCAAGACACTCTTACTGCATCACTGTTGAATTCACTGGCCATAGAGCAAATGCTCAAGATCTGTTATAGGGACTTGACACATCTCCGGCTGTCTCTAGCTAGCTCTGGTTCTGAACGGAGATGTCTCAGAGCATTCATTATGCAAACAGCAGGGTCAGTGGTGTACTCAACTTCAGTCTCTTTCTGATACCTGAAAGTTACTTAACGGAGAAAAATAAGTAAGCACGTCTTACTACCCTAAGTCAAATGAAACTTATTTTCAAATATAATGGTTAATTAATACTTAGTACAATGAAGTAAAAAAAAAATACTCTAACAAGGTCCTGTATTTTCATACCACATAGAATGACTTTAGGAGTGAAAGAACTTGAGGCAGATAATGAGGCAAATGCATATTGAAAGTGTGTCTATCCCTAAGACAAATATCATTTTATTTAAAATGATAGTGTTCTTGCATACAGTAGGTGTTCCATAAATGAGATGACATTTTCTTGTTTTCAGATGACACAAGGGGCTGAAAACCATGAGTGTGTGCACGGATTAAACATTAAAGCATTACCTAAGCACTGTCACCTGCTATGTGCCAGGCTTCTCTGCTACAGGCCGGACAATCATAAATAAAAGACACTGTCGGCCTTCAAGCAGCCCACTGGCTGAGTCAAGAGATGATCATTCCATCAAACAGTAAGTACAGTGAGAGAGGCAAGCACAGATTAAGGGAGCACAAAGGAGCACTGAAACCAGGCTGTGCTCTGTAAAGGAAAGTTACATGGAGAAGTGGCCAATGGGCTAAGACATAATATAGCTATTTTTACAATAATGCTAACACACCTCAAAATTTGTGGCTTAAAATAATAACTTCATTATTATTGTAAATTTATGGGTCAGCTGGAAGGTCCTAATAATTACGCCTGGCTTAGCTGACCTCAGCTGGGCCTACTCGTGAACCTGTAGTCAGCCGAAGGGTTGGCTGGCCTGCCTTTTCCACACTTGGCTCCTTCCACATCTGGGGCCTTGGTTAGCACATCAGGACTGACTAAACTCTGCTCCATATGCCTCACGGTCCAGTAGGTTAGGCAGTGTATGTCCTCACAGTGAAGGCACAAAAGAGAATCATGCAGACAGAGTCTTTGGAAATCTAGGCATGGGACACCACCATTTCTGCAATATTGTAGTTGCCGACATAACTCACAGACCAGCCCATTCAAGGGCTAGGGAAATAGAATCCACCTTTTGATGGGAATTGCTGCAAAATCACATTGCAAAGAAAGTGAATACAGGACGGAGTGGAGAATCTGGACCAGGGTTTCAATTTCTCCATCAGAGATGAGTAAGCATTTGTCAGAAAACAATAAAGGAAGAAGAGCATTCAAATGGAAAAGTTAGCATTGATAAATATATTAATAATCATCTTATTCAGGAGAGGCTGCCATACTGTTTTTTAGGCCTCTAGTCCTTATGACTCACTGAATCTTTTCCAATAGCACTTCCCAGACTTCTCTGCTGTGTTACTAGATGCTAGTCCCTTGGTTAGCTATGTTTGGGAAAAGATAGGTCAGTCACACTCACAGAGGCTTCTTTAGTGTGAGCGAGACCTCTCCAAGACTCTCAAAGTAGCTACAATATAGTTCCTACAATACAGTAGTTACTTTGAATACTTTCAATATTTTAGGTGCTTTACATGAATTTACGCATTTAATCCCCTAGGCATCATATGAGGTCAGTACTATTATTACTTACATTTTGTAAATAGGGAAACTGAGGAAAAGAGTCGTTATGCTAACATGCATTTTTAGTCACTTAGCCAAGGCTATTGTTTGCATCATTTTGTAAATATTTATCACCATCTAACTCTTAATGAGCATATAGTAACATCTCAAGCCTCACATTTTAGAATTTACTTTTCTAAAGATGTATGAGAGATAAATTGTGTTCTCCATCCTAAATTAATTTAATCCAGATTTTCTTCAATTTCTGTTTTTTCATCTATTCACCCATTTCTTTTCACTTTGCATTTTTTATATCTGCAAACATATAAGCCCATGGCATCCTTTTTAACATTTTAATTATTGCCCATAAATGCTTGATTTAACCATGTTTCTCTATAACTCTTAAGAAAGGCATTCTTAAAACAGAGAAATGAGTTATAAGTATTTTGCTAAACCTTATACTCTTTACAAAGAATTAAATGGCTTGTGTCAAGTAAACTGGCTTTCTCTAAGCTCAGAGCAAAATTCAATGTGTCCTTTCTTTCAAAGAGTGTTGGGCATCCAGCCTTCTTTAAGATGCTATGCAGTTAAATGGAAAGAGCCCAGACTAGAACAAGAGCACACGAGGTCTAATCTCGGCTCTCATGCCTACCAGTGGGGTGTCAGAAAATTCATTTCATTTTCTGAATCTCAATTTCCACATCTGTAAAATCAGCATCATGAATATCCTGTTCCACTTTCCATATATGGCTACGGCAGTGATCAAATAAAATATTGTATATGAAAAAAAAAAACCCACTTTGTATTCTCTAAGTGCTGTGCAGGTGTTTTAGCAGAACGGAAATTGCCCGTTGACTGTCAGTGGGTAAACTGAGATCAGAACTCGCTCTTCTAGGCCATATTGTTGGAAATGCATGTGAAAATCTTGTTCCTTCATCTCCACCAGTACCTAGGTTGAGTAATGTTGCTAGAATACCCGGAGAAACAGAGATGGTCTCTCTTCTCTTAGCATCATATCTCTCCAAATTGAAATGTTGAGAAGGATCATCAGTATGTGTGTGTTCTTGGCAACGTTATACATGAAAAGTTATACAAAATTCTACACGTGTGTTTTTATCCCTGATAAAAGAGATGAGTTAACACTTCTAGTCTTCTATGGTCCCAAACTATCATTTGTTTCCACCTTCCTTTAAAATCTAGTTAAACAAGGAAACATAACTCACCATTTAGTTGTATCTTCTGTTGTCTCACTGCTTTACCCACGTGTCGAGTTGATTTATTAAAAACACAATATTCATCGCGTACCTACTGTAGGAGAAGCACGGTAGTAGGCAGCGGGAATATGCCAGTAAGCAAAACCTAAATGTCCCGCTCTCACAGAGATTCCACACTTGTGGAGGGAGACAGTAAAGACTGGGCAAGTGAAATATGGAGCAAGTTAGTTCCAGGAAAGAGGAATGGGGTTTCTGGGATGTGATTCACATATTTTTAAAGAGGGTAGTGAGGCAAGTCACTGAGAGGGTGACTTTTGACTAAGTACTCGAAGGAGATGAGGGTGAATCAGGAGTATTGGAGGAAGTGGAATCGAGGTAGAGGAAAGTCCCCGAAGTCTGCTGGACCGACTCAAGGGACAGCCAGGAGTCAGCGTGGTGGCAGG